CCCCCCCCCCCCTTTTACTTTATGACCAGTCCCTTGTGTATCTACTTACATGCATGGAGTAAAATGCAACATGAGAACGACATTCTTAAACATGCAGGTGTATCGAAATTTGTTACGAAACACAATCTTCAGCATCCATTTCACTATATGTTTAAACACATTCTCTGATGTATGACGTGCAACCAACGAGCATCCATTCATTCAGACAGCAGTAGACATTGTAACTGAGAACGACAAGACAGGGGCAGCAAGGAGAAAGTAAAAGGCCTGGCCCAGTTCTACGAGGAAGCAAGAACCTCCTATAGCTATACAGGCTATCCCAAAAAGCACACACTATATCTTCTGGTATTACTACGCTAGCTTTAATGGTAGTTTCAAGTTTTTATACAGGATTAGCTATCATACTGTATGTTAATATATTGATATTTAACTGGTTAATATAATCCAACACCAATATTCGAACTGATGGGAATTAGGTACTTAGAAGGGATTTTTAAAGTGTATGCACACCTAGCTGTCGTCTCTTAAACCATAGACAATCAAAGGAATTTTCAATCAAAGGAAGGTTCCTTTGATTGTCTATGCTTCAACTAATGATATGTGGTCCCTATCATAAAGATTTCGTTTTATGTAAAAATTAGTAAAAATCCCAGCAGAAAGGGGAGGGTTATCAAAGGCCACTGTTATTGGGGTTCTTATGTCCTGTTGCGGGTTCCTGGCATTTTTGCTTTTTTATCTTCTCTTTCACTGGGAAAAAAATTGAAATCCATACGCTTATGAGATTTGGAATTGCACTACTAAATCCATAGTATATCCTACTATATCCATAGTATGGAAATATACAATTATTATGGATTATCAAAAATTCATTATATTTCCAATAAAGGTCCATACAATGTCCATTCTATGGATTTTCAAAAATTTTTCCAGTGTTTGTAATGTTGCTTATATTGTCAGGACATTTATACCTATTTCCATAAAGTCAGAATATTGGTGTTGTCACCTTTGTCATAATGCAAACGTTTTTCAATCCAATACTGAAGCTGTATAATATTCCAGCACATTGTATACCAATTAAACATACAGACATAACTTTATGCAGTACCTTACACGCTTATAAAAATATTAAAAGTTTATTTATTGTTCGTGTTCTTTGTTACTGTGTGTTTTTGCAGCAAATCAATCGCTTCTGGTGGCGTGTGGAGATCTCTTTATTCGTAATAAACGTTTTCGCAAACATCGAGTAGCTGAGTTCGATCACCAGAGCCACGTCTGAACATACATCTAAACAATGATCCATAGCACACGTGAAGAAGGCGAGCAAATAAGGAAATAATTGCAAAGGAGAAGAGAAGGCAAATTGAAGAAGGGAAAAGCCCAAGGATAATAATTTCAAGCCATTGCATCACTTTGAAAGAATCAGTTGGTGCAAGTACCTCTGCTTCAACTAACACTGACTTGTACAGGTTAATGAAACCCAGAACAACCAAAAGTAATAACGAGATTGACTCAAGATTATTTGCCCAATTATGTTTAAATGGCTTGACTTTGAGGTGATGGAAAAGAGCTAGAAGACACGTGAGTGTCATCCAGAATAACTTGTAAGATGTCTCGGTGATAACACAAAAAAGAAGAACTAGCACAAAACGACGAGCAATCATGATACTTTTCCAATACAGAGCTCCTGGCTCTCGGAATGGTGTTAAAAGCATTTTCCTTAGTACATTCAATTTCTCGTTCGGTTCTACGTTGTTTATTCCAGACGAAAACCTCTTAGACAAAAGCCAAAAAACTAAACTCGGAAGTGGCAGAATAAAGCCTATAAGAAGTTGCCTGAGTGTTATTGCTTCCTTATGAAGTTTAAAAGCAGCCCAAGCAAGGATAAATATAAAAGGGGTAACGAAGATAGCATTAAACACGAATGCCGCATATTGCCACCATTCATAACATGTAACATTCCCATTGTAAAACCATCGAACCTCACCATTGATAGGAACACATCGAATGAGCTGAATGCTCACAGTTGCCAATACGGTGTAACTGAGAAACAAAGTTCTTACACTTGCTGCAAGATAAGGAGCAATGGAGGGAGTGAGAGTGCGACGTACTCGAGAAAAGAAATAATGAAGACCATATATAATGTAAATAACAGTCATTGTAGCGAGGATGGGCACGATTTTAAAAAGCTTCTTTGTGTGTGGCATCAATCCTTCAAAGGGGCACGTGTTTTCAGAAATACTGAATTGGAAATTGAAGAAATCAAGTAAAGATGGAATGACTTTGGTTTCAGAATACTCTTCTGAGGATGAAGGGGACAGAAACAGTTGTGAGATCTGGTAGAAATAAAAGATTATTTCAACAAAATGCCAATATTGTCTGTTTTCATGTCTGACTTCTTCAGAAGACAAAGCTTGGATGACGTTATCATTCTGGTGATTTGCAGACCGAAGACACGATAACTTCTTAAACCAAAGCACTTGTTTTACCAAAAATGTTATCAGGGGTGGCTTGAAAATTAAAAGAAACGCAGTAAGACAAACGAAAGCGAGAAATGCAATCCAAAACCAGCCGTGTTTACAATCCTTGGCTAACGTGCAGTGAGTTGATAGCAATGTTTCTGTGTAACCACGTGAACATGTCCCACACATCATCCCAGTGCGTTTTCCCACGCATGCATTATATATATCACTATCAGGTTTTGGTGATTTACAATAATCAACTGGACAACGAGCGAACGTAAGTGTTGGTGGATGATAGCCAGATTTGTAACCCCAGAAATTATCTTTGGATTTTATAGAGGGGAGGCACTCTGCTCCATAAGGACAAGGAGTGCACACAAAATCTTTGTCTATATTCAGACCTTTGGATTGACCGATTTGAAGTGAATAAAACTTGGAGTTACATTGCTGACAGAATAAGCGAATAACAGTAACGGTAACTGGGTTGTTACATCCATTTAGGTCACTGTTCACATAGGAGTAATCCGATTTTATCAGAGAAGATCCTAATGGGCATGTGATTATTGAAGAACTGTCAAATTCTAGTAGTCCTGTTTTGGACACGACAATCAGAGGTTCATTTGTATTTATACATTGATCAACTGTTGAATTACGGATTGTAAGTGGACCACCGCTGTACATTCCCAGGAAAGATGAATAACCGTATTCTTTTCCAAGGAGTAAAATTTTCTCAATTGTCTCTTTAAAATTGGAGTTGTACATTTTTAGGCTTGCGGAACCGTAAGTGACGAGTTGATTTCTCGAAGCGAAACCAAAATTATCCATGATCAAACAATCTCTCAAAATCACAAGACCGTTTTTAATATACAAAGCGTTTCCGTCTTTTGCAATGTTTTCCTGAAAATGAACTCTGTGGAACTCTACGCTACTTAAGTAAATCCAGGAACGTGGATTTAGGGAATTCTGGCAATTTGTCGTGTTTATTTGATCAGTTGACGCTAAGACAGAAATAGCTCCACCTGTGCCGTCCAAGGCAGTATTGTTCACAAAAATGGAATCTGTTATGATAGCTTTGGTCTTAACAGCTTCAATACGAATTGCTCCTCCACCATAGTCCCGGCGAGAATTATTTATAAATTTCGAGTTCGAAACCTTTAGCATCGATTCTTGCAGCTTGAGAGAAAGTGCGCCAGAGTTTGAGGAAAATGTAGAATTTTGACAAACGATATTATATCGTCCTACGAGACTAATTGTTGGATGTCTTCCATAGTTTCCTACAAACACGCAGTTGCTGAAAACTAAATACACAATCGCTTGATTTATTAGTATCTCGTTTAGTGCGACACTACCACCTGAATATTCTGCAGTGTTTTCAACGAAACGCACCTCTTTAAAAATTATTGTGTAATTTGATGCGATGAATAATGGCATACTAAAGGCGCCACCTATACCAGCTTTATTTCTGATAAAGTTAACGTCTGCGGCAACAAAACTGTACATGGACCCGTCATTAGGAGGTCGCACATAAATTGCTCCGCCAGCAGCACAAGCACTGTTTCCAATAAATGAGCTAGTTCGAACTTTGACAGTTGATTCAGAAGAAAATAGGAGATAAAAGGATCCTCCGTCTTCCTGAGCTCTATTCGCCATAAATATGCTGTTTATGACAGTGAGAGAAGCCCTTCCTATCACAGCAATCGCTCCTCCATTATGCGAGAGATTGTTCAGAAATGAAGAGTTCAATATGAGTAACGAAGCTTTGGCGGCAAATGACGATATAAAGAACGCTCCACCAAAACCGTTATTTTCATTGGAAACATTTTGAACTGTGGAATTTTGAATTGATATTGTCGTTGACCTTGGGGCTACAATAGATACAACTCCACCATAATTACTTCTAGAAATGCCATTGCGGAATGAAGAATTAATAAATGAAATAGTGCATTTATGGCTTGCTTCAATATCAAACACTCCTCCCTGTGCAGATGAAAGGTTGATAAAGTCTTCTACTTCGGTATTTAGGATACTCAGTTGAACTGTTCCGCCCGCGAGTTGCAAAAAGCGGCAGCTGCTTGTGAGCATACGGCAAAACTCTATGCTCACACCCATGTTGCAACTTTTAATCGAAAATAAACTGTTTGAGATTCTTCTGTAATAATGTCCATTTCCATCTAGTAGTATTTCAAGGAGGCAAATATTTGTTGTTCCGTGTTGATTATTTACGAAAATCATTCCGTTTTCAATGAATGAATTTTTTGTAAAACTTACAATATGCATCTTCATATTGATATCATCGTTGTAAGAATTCAACCAAAGAATGGACGACAAAGAGGTAGCTATATCAATATCACCATTGTTTTTGAAGACGGAGTCTTTTATGTTAATAAAAACATTGCCTTTTTTTGTTCTGTTGCTTTTGACAACCATACATCCCACGTTTTGTTGAAACAAAACGTTGTCAAGGGTCAATTCGAACCAATCTAATTCAACTATTGAGAAATTCAACGCTGGTAGTTTTGTTTCTCGGAATGTACAGTCTTTAATGTTAACTGAAGCGTCGACGAAATCAAAAGATGAATTTCTAAACGCAAGTCCTTTGAAATTAACTTGAATTCCTCCTTTTCCTCCTCTTCCATCAACCATCCAAACGTTTCCTTGAGAACACGCAATATGAGCACGTGAACCAGTACTAACGAATGACATGTTTTTGGTAAGATAAATTCCTTCATGTTCTTTTCTGAGTGGTTGACACGTATAAGTACGCCGCCATGAAGTACCTGTGCCATCGAGGTAGATGATAGAGCCCGCTGACACTAGATGTATTGCATAAGATATAGTTCGACACGGAGAGGCTTGTGTTCCACAACTGGTTGTATCTTGGCCAGATAGTAGTGACACAAATGCATTAGGCATTACCAAAGTAACTACAAAATAACAATGCTATGTAAATATTTTTATAGACTAGGTTAACTGGGCGTTTGGACGTGCCACATCATCATCTATGAGATTGACTTTATTGAATAAGTAGTTTATAGGAATCCTCAACTAGCGCATGCTGTTTGCTAATCCTGCGTGCATTTCCGATCCTAAGCCCGCAAAATGGAGTCTGGGATTGCACTCGTTTCGTGAGGTCGGTACTACACACAGGCTTGTCCTAATGGGATATTTATAGAATAACTCAAGAAATTTAATTAAGCGTTTTCATGCACACCGCCGTGACAGGGATGGATGTAATTACTCATATATAATTAGCCAGTTTAAACCAGGAGAACTGACTTAAGGTAACAGGACACCCTTTTTGGCGTTTTGCGCAAAATCGCTACTGCGCGCTCAAAATCAGTCCGATTTTCATCAAATTTTCACCAAATGTTAGCCAGTGCGTGCAAAATATGGTAAAGTTATAAAATTAATAAACAATAAAATAATGTAAGAATTATTCAGGAAAATCTTAAATCGCGGTACCGTTACGCTTTTGAGTTGTGCTCCTGCTGGTTTTGAGTTATATTTATAAAAATATCATTTTTTAACAGTAAAATAGTTGTTCTAGAAAAAAAGTTCGGAAAATTTTGTTTATTTCGTCATTCCGCTGATATGGCGATTTCTTTGACGACTGCAATATATTTCTGAATTGTTTGAGTGAATTGCTCTTTATTACTAAAATATCCAAAATTAGAACAAAGCCGAACACAATTTTGAAACTGACGTCTTTAGCTATGTCCTGTGAAAATTTGAGAAAAATTGGCTGAAACCCGCAGGAGCACAACTCGTTTGAATATCAGTAATTACCGTAAAATTCTTCGGGAGAAAATTGAATTTGAATAATACATTTTCAATGTTTTTCTTATTGCAGCGAAATGTATTTTATTAAATAACTCTGCGAGTTTTCAACATTTTTCGTTCAAACTTGGTCAGGTAGTAGAACTAGTCTAATGCTTTCATGGAAACCAATATAAAAATTTTAGGCAAAATTAACACTCAAAGGTGTTCTGTAACCTTAAACTGGCTACGATAAGCTACTGTAACGGCTCCTATCCTATACATTGTAAAATGTCGGACAGACACGTGAACTGGTCCTATAAGCCTTACTCAGACGAGAATGAGAGCTGATGAGAGTTTATTTTCTCAGCTCTCGTGATGAAATTGCATTTTCCATCTTTAGTAGGAATTGAATGTTCTTCCAATTCTCGAACATTTTATCTGATGACGTCACGTAACTACAACTATCTGAATTAAAGCACTTGTCGAGTAATAACCTTGAAAGACAAAACAATACAGTGTTTTAAGTAAAAATATGGACATTTTCAACTTCGCACTGGTTTGGAATGGACAACAATTGATCGTGAATGGTCACATAACTAAAAATAATTTTTATTTATGTATAAGATGGTATGATCTGAAAGTGAACAATATTTAGGATTGGAAAACCGAATTGAGTTATTTTTTTTACATTAAATTTGGACAACAAATTGAAGATCAAAAACTAAGTCTTTAAAACTAAGGACAAATACCAAGGTTCATGCATAATAATTAATAACTGCAATAAATATTATATTTAATATCAGAATTTTGTAACGCGATATTATTTTTATATTTTTATTTTATAGCTTATAGTATATAATCGTGTTGAGTATTTGCATTATCTCTAAAAGGAAACCTTTTTATACCTCACATCCAAGTGGTAGTTTCATGATGAAATTCCATTCATGAAATTTCACATATATCATGAGATAATGAGAAATTTCTGTTTCATATATGAAAGCTTGACATATGAAATCGATTTCACAGTTGAAGTGTCCCAATTCCTCCGTCGATTTCACATATGAAATGTATTTTTATGATATTATTTTTATATTTTTATTTTATAGCTTATAGTATATAATCGTGTTGAGTATTTGCATTATCTCTAAAAGGAAACCTTTTTATACCTCACATCCAAGTGGTAGTTTCATGATGAAATTCCATTCATGAAATTTCACATATATCATGAGATAATGAGAAATTTCTGTTTCATATATGAAAGCTTGACATATGAAATCGATTTCACAGTTGAAGTGTCCCAATTCCTCCGTCGATTTCACATATGAAATGTATTTTTATGATATTATTTTTATATTTTTATTTTATAGCTTATAGTATATAATCGTGTTGAGTATTTGCATTATCTCTAAAAGGAAACCTTTTTATACCTCACATCCAAGTGGTAGTTTCATGATGAAATTCCATTCATGAAATTTCACATATATCATGAGATAATGAGAAATTTCTGTTTCATATATGAAAGCTTGACATATGAAATCGATTTCACAGTTGAAGTGTCCCAATTCCTCCGTCGATTTCACATATGAAATGTATTTTTATGATATTATTTTTATATTTTTATTTTATAGCTTATAGTATATAATCGTGTTGAGTATTTGCATTATCTCTAAAAGGAAACCTTTTTATACCTCACATCCAAGTGGTAGTTTCATGATGAAATTCCATTCATGAAATTTCACATATATCATGAGATAATGAGAAATTTCTGTTTCATATATGAAAGCTTGACATATGAAATCGATTTCACAGTTGAAGTGTCCCAATTCCTCCGTCGATTTCACATATGAAATGT